TACGGTACTAAGTAGTTAGCTTTAGTGAAGCTAACTACTATGTAGGTAGCTTTAGTGAAGCTAACTTAGTAGTTAGCTTTAGTAAAGAGTTTCAAAAACCCAAGATCCAGATCCAGGCAAATAAGAGTGACCGACTGGGTGTATAAATGGAGCAGGAATCAGTGTTTATAAGCTCAGCTAAGATCAGAAAGTAGCCATTTAAAAACAAACCACAGGATATGCTAGATGAGAGCAAACTCACACTTTTGACTGTTTTTAGCTATATATATTTATCGTCATGGTAATAAAAAAAAAATTATACTGCAAAGACCTGCTTTGATGGCGATGGCTATTAGATAATCATATAAATGCAACTGGAGGCACTAAACCTGAAGCAAACTGATGGCGACTGTCGTTTTGTGGAGCAGATGAAAACAGAAAGTCCTTCCTACTGGTTCATCTCTGGAAGCTTCTGGATGGAGGTGTTACTTTGACTGACATTGGACAACATCTCAGGGAAGGTTTGACCATGGAAAGTTCCGGAGAAGACAAAAATACTGTGACATAGTGTAATATGAAGGAAGACAGAGTTTATAACCACCTGAATAACCCCCATTCACCCCGGGAATAGCGTTGATAACCCGACATCCTCTGAACGAGTTCAGTCGAAGCAAAAATCTGACCTGCAGCCTCTTTGGATATTATTTATCCAATCTAAAATTAGGATATTTTTGTGTTTTTAACAGGACAGAAACATAATTTTTGTCTTCCGATGCAATTCAGACAAAACACAGCTTTAAATCTGCTTCTTTCAAAGCATTCAGCGGCTCTCGGCCTGAATGAGAGGGAATCCGGTCTACATGTTTACATGGCAATACACAGGAACATGAACTCTAGGTAAAATGTCTACCATGTACCCAATGAACAACTTCGTCTACTGAAACGGAACATCATCTTCTTCAGGAATCAGACACAGTAGATGAGGACCGGTGAAAGCAGAGGAAGGGTGTTGACTTTTTCTCCAGAACATCATTGGATGAAACAGTTACCATCTCATAAGTTCACTTACTTTTCCAGCAAACGGTGTTATTTTTGGTTGCTATGCAGCATTAAATGTTAAAACAAGGGTCCTTTTTAATGAAACAGTTCAGATCACAGAAAGAAACCAATCAATGCAGAAAACTAAATTATCCCAAGGTACACACATCTTCTCATGTCACTCTCTCTCTGTTTATATATATATATATATATATATATATATATATATATATATATATATATATATATATATATATATATATATATATATATATATGCATCTATACAGACATATGTACACATATGTATAAAATAATGACTGACTTGGATCACATAAAGGAATGTAGATGAACATGAGAAGTGCGAGCAGTGGATCTACTTAAATAAAAACCTCTCTTTCTCCAGTCTGGTCCAATAACTAACATCCAATGACGAAGATTCATCAGTAAAAACTATCAAGATGGTTGAAATGTTCTCTGTGTTACCCATGAGCCTCCTCTTCTGTCGAGCTCTCCTGCGCTCTGCTGCTACCTGTGGAACCCGACCAATGAGAGGAGAGCTGAGGTGAGGTGAGAGGTTTAAAACAAGAAGGACAGCCCTTACACTTAGAGGGGTGCTTCGGGTCAGGAGGGTGAAGGATATGAAGGAGGACAGAATGGGGATTTACTTTGTAGAGCATCTATTCTGTCTGCTTCTAAGCGTCCCTGAGGTGATGCCACATGGTGACTTAGTGAACATGTTGGACGTTATCAGCTCTTTTCGGTAATGGATCCTTCTTGTTTGGAGGTCCAAAGCAGAGCTGTGTTTTTTTCAGTTAGTTTATAGGAGGAAGAGAAAAAGAAAATTGATATGTCTTGGCAGGATAGAGCCAAACTGCATAGAATATATGGCTCAGTATGAGCGCAACACTAGGACTATTGTGAACCCAACAGTGGCTACGGAGGCAATAGTAAAACGAAAATCAACTACTGATCTGAATAATGGCAGGTCAACACTGATAACAGAGCCGCTGGCAAAGAACAAGGAGGGTTCAAACCTGAATTGGCTTTGTAGATATTTCATGTGTTAGGCTGGCCAAGCCCTGCTTTGGCTACTTCCTTTGCCTTCTATAAGCTTGGCTGCCATTGTTCTTTGGACAGAATGGCATTGGCCTCAAATAGGTTTGCTTTAGCCACAAGCCTCAGGCTGGCTGGCGTTCGCCTCAGGCTGGCTGGCGTTAGCCTCAGGCTGGATGGCGTTAGCCTCAGGCTGGATGGCGTTAGCCTCAGGCTGGCTGGCGTTAGCCTCAGGCTGGATGGCGTTAGCCTCAGGCTGGATGGCGTTAGCCTCAGGCTGGATGGCGTTAGCCTCAGGCTGGCTGGCGTTAGCCTCAGGCTGGATGGCGTTAGCCTCAGGCTGGATGGCGTTAGCCTCGGAGTGGCCGCCGTTTGCCACATACTGGCTCCAGTTAGACTCAAGCTGGCTGGCATAAGACTCAGGCTGGATGGTGTTAGCCTCCGGCTGGATGGCATTAGCCTCAGAGTGGCTGCCGTTTGCCACATACTGGCTCCAGTTAGACTCAAGCTGGATGGTTTTAGCCTCAGGCTGGATGGCATTAGCCTCAGAGTGGCTGCCGTTTGCCACATACTGGCTCCCGTTAGACTCAAGCTGGCTGGCGTAAGACTCAGGCTGGCTGGCGTTAGCCTCAGACTGGATGGCGTTAGCCTCAGACTGGAATGTGTTTGCCACATACTGGCTCCGGTTAGCCTAAGACTGGATGGCGTTAGCCTAAGGCCGGATGGTGTTAGCCTCAGATTGGCTGACGTTAGGCTAGGATAGGCAGGTCTTAACACTAGAGGGTTGTGACCACGCCTAGCTTGGACCAACACTTTTAAATAAAAATTGAAATAAACACAAAAACAAACAGAAAACGTATCAAGAAATATGGCTGACAGACTAAATCTTAAAAGAATCAGAAAATGCTTTATTACCGAGTCGTGTTTTTACTAGATATGGAAAAGCAAACTCACTCTTCACATAAATAAATATGGGAGAAAATATTAGATTAAAATTGCATGATAAGAAAACCCTGGCAATTATGGAAATTAGGTCCCATTTTATTATTTTTTCGTTTTTGTTTTTCCCTTAAAAGAGAAAAGCATCAGTTGCTGACTCAGGGTGTTTATTTCATTAATTTTACTGTTCAAAATGTAGAGAGGGGAACCAACTTTAAGTTAATCCCTATAAAAAAAACAACCAAATACAAAGGAAACTCCACAACAACAAACTGCAATGAAAATTTCACCAGCAGGTAGATGGGCCCAATATTCATAGCAACATATTAACAATTTAACTCAAGATATAAAATAGGCATGTGCATGTTTTTGCATTTTAATCAATCTTTTCTTTGACCCTTTCAGCCCCATTTTTCATGGATAATTGTGCTTTTTGGTCTTTCCTTTTTCTACAGTTTGTAATTGGTTTTTTATGAAGATGAAAAAAAATGGTGCACTGCCTACAAATCCATGAACAGTAAATTCAGTGAAAGACACATGTAGATGTTTGAACATCAGCCATATCTCTTTATATTCTGTTTTCCAAAAGTTTGCATCTATTCCAGCCCAGGCATGCTAGCTTCTTTCAATATCTAATTAGCCAGAATCGGCCGCCGTTGCCCCTGTCACACCAGCATTTGCCTGACGTACAAAAAATCGGGCAAAAATGCAGGCATACAATGGATTGTAGCGTTTTGGTATAAAGGGGGTTCACAGGAGGAAACCATCAGTTTTCCTCCAGGCTTCATCACCATCATAGGGTGACGGAGAAGGTGAGTGTGATGGATCCTTCCTGTGTTCACGCCAACGACCAGCAAACTTCCTACCAGACATGATGCTGAATCTACTGCGACTGTAAACCTTCTTTCTTTCTTTTTATTCATTCAGAGACATCTTTTCATGCAGGCTGGGTGCCTCCGGTGTAGGTACCAGATTGACTCGGGCTGCCAGATTGACTCGGGGGCCTGCGCCTTTTGATGACGTCACAATACATAATTGTTTTAACGTTTGCACAATTGCGCAACACATTTTGATTGGTCTGGACAGCTTACTAAAGTAATTATAGCGGGGTGTAGGTTTTATTCGAAAGCGGGATTGCGGTTTGTAAACGGACAATTTTACGAAGAAATTCTCCATGGTCCCTGCGCCTTCCGATGACATCACCGAATTCGCCATGGGCCTTGCGCCTCCCGATGACGTCACATTATGGCAACGCCACTCAAACAAACTACATTGAGCCCGCGGTCTGCATTTGTAACGAGAATAGATTTGTGACAAATAGAGACCGCGGGTGCAATGTAGTTTGTTTGAGTGGAGTTGCCATATCGTTACGAGTGGCGTTGCCATATAGTGACGGGCGGAGTTGCCATATTATGACGTCATCAAAAGGCGCAGGCCCCCGAGTCAATCTGGTACCTACACCGGGCGCATCGCTACCCATCAGGACACTGACTTGTGACATTTCCTGGGCATTATGCTGCCGTGCGTTTTGCATTATTTAGGCTCTCGTTGGACATAAGTTATAAATACGCAATATACACGCCCCAAATTGAAAAAATACATAAAAAGTTCAGCTATGCCAGTGTTTTAGGAGATTCTGGAACGTCAGGCATACACTGGCTAAACTGGGAAGGTGTGACAGGGCCCTCAATAACTAGGGGTGTAAATCACACTCACCATGGTGATTCGATTCAGTATCGATTTCCTGACCCAACAATTCGTGGTGTACTCAAGAATACACCACGATACGATTTGTGGTCAGTTTTTTTTCTACCTTACAGCCAGACAATGTTTCAAATTTGAAATAAATCAATGAAAGCTATAATATCGTCGTGCATTTCATTTGAGAAACAACAGAAAATAACAGAAATACTTCCGCACAAATGACTTGAACCCGCAATGGGTGCGAAAGTCATCCTCTTTTTTTCTCCGCCATTTTTTCCGTGCAAGCGGAAAGATGGTAGCGGCTAAAGGAAGAGAGGTAGGGCGAAATATGTCAGAATTACGTCCAGGAGCAAATGGATAAAAATAGACTGGAGGATAAAAAAACATGAATGGATGCTCTTGCGGACGTGTCGATGCATCGGATCGTCGGCTGTTGCATCGATACAAAATGATTATTATTTATCAGTAACCTATGACTAATCAGATCAGTAGAAGCCTCGATGGCGGAACTCATACAGACTGTGCCTGTTAGTCAATCCCACAATGCCACCCACCCTACAGACCTGCTGACGCCTCCAATATGGACACCAGAGAACCAGGGCATCACCTTCTGTGGACTTTTTTTTTTGTTAAGACAATGCATTACCGTCACATCTTTGTTTTGTGGAAACAAAGGCTGAACAGCATGAAGCAAAATATCAACAGTAGCAGGAGGAGGACAGCAAAGAGAACGGTTGATATAAAGAAAAGGTAAAAATACAGTTCAGGGGGTAAAAAAAAGCCTTCAGACATCCACAAACATCCTAAGATGAATAAAGAAAAGCTCGTCGGGGACGGGTGTTATGAGCAGGTAAAGGTGTCAGCGTTGGAGCTGGACAGTCAGCGTCTAGGCTGGCCTGGATTTACCTCATGCATAAAACCCTCTAACAGTAGTTCTCAATGGTATCAAAGAATGAAAAGTTTACGGGGAACTCTGGGAGGGCCAGAGACAAGAGGAGGCACGCAAGGAGGGGGAAAAGAAAGAGAAAGAGAAAATTAATTCAGTTCCGCTGAAGGAAAACAGGAAAGCACATTCCTAAAAACGAAAACACAGCAAAAGGCATCAGAAAGAAGAGGGAAAGATTTGAAAAAAATAAAATGTTTGCAGGTTTGGCGAGGCAGCAGACCCGGCAGGTCAGACAGCGTTGGGAGGAAAGCTACCTGGCGTGGTGTTTCTGTCATTGAGCAGCTTCGTCTGACTGTTGGGCAGGATCTTGATCTCTGGAGGATCTGGACTCTGGCCCGACCGCGACGCCATCAGAGCGTTCAGGTACTGCAGACGAGTCACCTGCAACACAATGATCCACGGTGACATCATCAGCTGCCTCAAGTCTATCGGTTAAAACTACACATTCCCTATGGAGTGAATCGTGTTCCATTATTGTTGCAAGAAAATGAACCGATGCAATTATCGGGTTTTCCTTAGATAGAAAACTTTTTATCAATCTGACTGGATGATCTGGTTGAATTGTCTCTGTAAAGAGCCTTGGATGAGGTGTTGTAAATTGGCGCTTATGGAAGTAAATCTGTGTCGCTGGGATTTGAATTAAAAATGCCACTGAAATTTAAATGTTATATGTTTGTACTTACTGTTTTAGTGTTAAAATATATTCAGAAAACAAATTTTTGACCTAAAAAAATGCATTGTCATTATTTCTACACAGTTGAAATTTCATTTATTTTCTCTTCAAGCTAAAAATTCACATTACTATTTCAAAGTGATTACATTTTCAATACTTATTTTTCAGTTAAATTTTTGAGTGTTAAAAAAATCTGCATATAAAAAAATTCAACCTTTCAAAATTCAAAGTCAATATTTTCAGCCTCCTGAGATTCAACTGGCTCTATTTCACTGTCTTAAATTCGGCGTCTAAATTCAGTGTAAAAAAGGGAAGGGTTACTTCAGGTCACAGACATTAGCAATGGATTTGGTGTGTCCAACACCCAGCCAATCCCGTTACGTTTTCTTGGCCACGTGACGTGACGCATGTGGCCCTCATACTGAAGGAAAACCAGCATTACGGAGCCGGTCATGCAAGCTAACACTGCCTCAACTACAGAAAAATGAAAGTAATAAACTCACCGTTGAGTTAGCGTTAGCTTGCATGACCGGCTCCGTGATGCTGGTTTACCTACAGTCTGAGCGCCATATGCGTCACGTCATGTGACCAATTTTTAATTCAAATCCCAGCGACACAGATTTACTTCCATAGGCGCTACATAAATAAACTGAATTCAAATGGAATTGAAAATGTGATAAAAGCATAAACCAGAAATAAAACTTTGAAATTTAGAGTAAAATCAATTTGTTTTTACATTTATATTTTAAATGGCATCTTTTCTATATATTTTTACAGATTTTATATATATATTTTTCAGTTTGTTTTGCAGATTCAGTTTTTAAAACTCCATTATTTTCAAACTGCCTTTCACAGATCACATTTCCTCTTCATGCCCAATATAAACACTCGCCATTGACCAATAAAAAGGTTGTTGCTAATGTCAACGCTAACCAATAGAAATGTGTCTTCACTCTTCCCTCCAAAGAAAAGCCCGCCCCCAGAGGTTAAGAGAAAGTGATCTGGAAACGCAATTTAAAAAGAATGCAATTCGTAAAACTCTAAACAACTGAAGAAAATCTGTAAAAAAAAAAAATTAATGCAAAAAAAAATGTTTTTATAAACTGTTATTTATAAATTTTAAATAACAAAACATAAAAAAATATAAAGAAAATACCAAGGCTTAGTCTTAAAACCTTTTTGATTAAAATATTTTCATTTTAGGATTCAGGATTTTTTCTTTAAATTCCCATTTACAAAATATTTTTTTCTTTCAACAATATTGACCCAGAATTCACTCCATAACTCCCCACCTTACAGACCAATCTTATCTAAGCTTTCCTTTATATACCTTCCAGACCCCAGTTTTAAATGCCAGGGAAGGTCCCAGTGGACAGACCCACTCCTGCATGATCCACTCACCCGTATGAGCTGCAGGTCAGTGAGCGCTCGCACCGTGTAGTCTGGACAGTAGCTGGAGGGGCTGGTGGCGTCCGTCGACTCAAAGGGATCCCTGGGAGAGTGCCGCTGGCTCGACACCGGAGACTGATGAACTGTATGTTATAAACAGAAACACAAAGTCTGAATGAACATCAGCCGCCTAAAGAAAGGACTCCCTGCACAAATAGAAATAATAAAAAGAAGGCAGAAAACAGGGTTTATACAGGAATGAGTAACTCTAATTTAATGCTCTATTAATGCTCTTAGAAATAATTTCAATTACATAAACAATAGGGGTGGAACGGTTCACAAAATCCACGGTTCGGTTCGGTTCACGGTTTAGTGGTCACGGTTTTCGGTTCGGTTCGGTATATGTTGATTGTTAGCCCAAAATCCCATAAAAATTAATGAATTGTAATTATTTTTAATCATCTGCGGAAACCCTGGATCATTTCCGCATGTTTTGCTGCTTTGAATTTAATCATCTGGCGCATGCTCTCTACCATTTCCAAGGAACTCAGAGCGGAGCGGACGGGAGCCACAGCGGGTCTGGAGCGCAGCGGGGCGGAGCGCTGACGGAGTATGAGGGATTTCGGGGTTAGCATGACATGTTGGTCATGTTGCTGTTAGCGTAAACAAAACGTGTTACACAATGCTTGCACACTGTTGCACTTTTATCCACAACTTTCTTTCCGCCGTCATCGTAGGTCACTCTAAATGCAAAGCGCTCCCATACAGCAGACCTATAAAGTGCTGCTGGTGCGTCTTCCAACTCCTGTTCTTTCCCACTCGCCAGTCCGACACAATTCTCCACAACAACTGATTTTTTTCTGCTACACCCGGCTAAGCTGCTTCGCTTCTTCTTCTTCTTGTTTACTACTGGTGGTTGGCTTTGGTCGCAGTACCGCCACCTTCTGCTCTGGAGTGTAAACGCTTCGCCTATGAGAAAAAGGAGCAGCGCTTGAACCGAACGAAACACACGCGAACCGAGCAGAGACAGTAGAACCGAACGGTTCGGACGCTTTTCATAAACCGTTCCATCCCTAATATATATATAAACATATATATGTATAAATAACATGACAAAATCATTTGTGATCTTTAACGTCGACAGGCTGCAGCCATGTCCCTGTGCCTCAGCCAGAGACAGAGCTCTGGCTGAGGCAAGCTCAGTACATATATTTACATAACTGCCAATACACACACTCTCCCTTGGAACTATCCCACCCGTACATAAAGAACTTTCTCACAGACGAACATTTGGGGGAAAACAACTCGAATTTGATCAAGCCCATTCCCTGTTAGGTTAATATATCTTTCACTGGCTAGATGGATCTCCTCAAAACAACAGTCCTCTCCTTCATGCCATGAAGGAGGCTGTGTGAACTCATTCTCATGACTAGGGTTGGGAGATTTTCATGATTCTGATTATCTTATTGATTCTGTGCAGGGTGACATTCATCTACCTTTGCCTGGGACATTTTATTTCTGCCTGCCTTGGCAAAAACAGAAGGCAGTGAACGGGAGCTGCCAGCCTCTGAGCAGCCAGGCTACCCGTCTCATCACAGTCATCTAAATCTAATGGAGAAGGCATCTGTTTAATGAAAAAACATTACTGTACAATAAACCCATCTCCCCCTGATTTAAATAAACAAGCGTCACCTTTCACTCGCCCCCTGACCTGCGGAGCAACTTTGTAACATGTTTAATAACCCCAAAGAGAGGTAGGAAATGGTTTTATTTCCAGAAATGGCATCTGATTCACTAGGAACCACATTAAGCACAGCCAGTGATATAAAATTAGCTACTAACCACCAGAGTTCCTTCCATGCTGTCGTAACTTTAGATTCAATCCGGAAGCATCAAAAACACGGCATTCGTTAAAATGTATGCCATGTTGTGTGCGCAGGTGTTTCTGCATGTTGGATGTATTTCCTCCCGCGGATTTATTGCCACTTTGCAATGATTGTAAAGCGCCTTGTTGCCATCTTTCTCTTCCTTAAAATTAAACCAATCTTTCAGTCGCTTTGACCGCTTTTGTTTTGCTTTTCTAGACTTAGGCCTGGTCACGTCGTACTTACTGAATGCCGTGTGCGTAAAAAACGTGACGCAAGTCATGCTGCCCAGCGCTAGGCTCTGATGCTGCCTGGAATTGTTAAGAGAATCGTTAAGCGAGCTGCCAAACGGAGCCATGGAACTGGAACACGGAACCGTTTCTGAACAGGAACCGGTTTTCGATTCCCATCCCTGTTCCAACCTTCGTTTGGAGCCTGTGAAGCTAAGAACAGACACATCTCAACATTTTTTACTCCACAACAATCAACCGGAACCAGTTATATCTGATATATCTGACCAAATTGTTTTTAAAAATGTTTTTTTTTCTTTAATAAAGCACTTTAAATGCCAGGATAATCAAATTTAATGAGTTTTAATGCCAATTAAGGCCTTAATAAAAAAAACAAACAATTTAATGACTTTTAATAATTTTTAAAGTCGTAGGGAAGCGGCCGTTCCAACCGTTGCATTTCCGAATTTTCACGACTGGTGCACGACTTCACACGAGTGGATAAAGTGAATGTGATTGGTCGATTATCAGGGGGGCAGGATTGTTGTGGCAGAAGGTTCGCCAGCAACTCAATGGGAAAGGAAATTATTCTTATTTCAACCATTGCGTATATTAGCTGCGACATATGAATCAACGAGCGAAAAAATTTGATTGACAGATGACCGTTGATATATGATTGGCTGTGTTCAGGCTGAAGTATAACTAACTGGCCTGCATAAGATAATGGGGAAAAAAACGATCTGACAAAGAGTACATTTATAAACATTTTCAAGACAGAATAGTTTGACATTGAAATATGATTTTCCTACGACTCTAATGACACGCAGAAACCCTGAAAAACTACATCTTTTCCACTGCAATCAGGTGGCCCTGCTGCTCCCAGGGCTGAAGACAGAGAGCAATAGCAGGTTTTATAAAGAACTGGCTTGCATCTGAGTTGTAGTGACGACATCTCACCTGAAGAGGGCAGCGTCAGAGCAGACACGCCGTAGTAAGTAAAGGCCCCATTCTCAAACTTAAGCCCCTCTTTGCCAATTTCCACCTCGACGCGGCCCTGAAAAACAAATGGAAAACATTCAGCGAGACCCAACAAGACCGCTGGAATGATAAAAAAGGGATTTTTATTTTATGCCAATTGCTTAAAATGAAAATGAATGAATAAATGTCTCCAGCTTGGTTTTCTCAGGCAAAATTAAAAAGGAACTGTTGTAGAGTAAAGGAACCTCCAGTTGGCTAAATAATGACGTAGAACTCAAAGATCTGCCCCTCATGTTTCCACTGGTTTTCAGACCTAATAAAGTAGCCTGCTGGCGCTTCCTACCTGCAGCAGGAGGATGAAGTAGTCCACCGGGTGGTTGCGGGTGTACAGGTAGTGGCTGGGGCTCAGCCGGTTGCTGTGGTCGAAGGGGACCTCCTGGTTGACGCTGGGGTGGCGGAGCAGGTGGAACAGCACCTTCTCTGAGACTCGAGCTGGACTGAAGTGCTCTACTTCTGAAGGTGGAAACAGAAGCACAGAACTTCAGTGGGTTTACCTCCATTTCTATGGAGGCAATTTTGTCCCATTATTGTTAGAAGTGTTAGGTTTATTATTTATACATCATGTGCATTGTTATTCTGTTAGTCAGATTAGACAGAGCAGAAGGCCTTCCTTCACACTGTGGATGTCACGGTGTGTACGGAGGTCATCTAATCAGGACAGCCTTCGTGTCTTTAAGAATACACAGGATATGCGCACATCTTGGAGCTGGTCTGATAGGAGAGCTATCTGTAACCCTGAGGCATAGAAGCAAGCTGCATACAGGTCAGGGCATTGATGGCGTGTCAGTTTCTGATACGGACAGCTAAGCATCCAAAAAAAGAAGCAGGAGATGACCTTGTCCGGGGCTCAATCTTCGCCGGACGCTCGCGGACGTGACTTTTGAGACCACAGCTGTGCAAGCTCCAAGCATTTTCTCTGTCCTGTAACGACCTGATCTGGAATAAACTCTGTTATTTTTTACTCCAGTTTTATAGTCCTTTTTATATGTTTTACCCAGCTTGAGTTAAGAGTAGTAAATAACTTGCTCCCAGGAAAAGGACCGTGGGGAAGCCCCCAAGGCGCAACGGCTTTTTTAGGGGACATGACTTCCTCATTTTAACAGAAGCAAAGAGCATAGAAAAAGTGAATTTGTAGAAAAAAGGCAATCCAGAAATACAACTTACAGATGCTGTTTTCTCAGATTTTTATTTTTATTTAACTTCTTCTTTTTTACAGATTTCTCATATTTTATTTATAACAGATATTTTTTTTTTTTTTTTTTTTTTTCAAGCTTTCTTTTCAGATTGAGTTTTATGAATTGCTTTCTTTTCAATTCAACCTTCTTGTCTGGGGGCGGGTTTTCCTCTGGGCTGACACAGGAAGCCACATTTCTATTGGTCTGCTGGACGTAAGCAACAATATTTCTATTGGTCGAACATGAGGAATTGCATTTGGCTTCAAGTGATGCAAATGTGATGTTTTAAAACACAGTTTCACAAGAATGTGATTTGTACAATTCAATCTACAAAAAGCACACTTTTTTTAAATATATAATAAGTTAAAATAAAGTTACACTGAAAACCTTTTTTTAAAGAAAAGATTTTTAAAAGTAATTTCTATGGAGAGATATTTGTGCCATCGGTTTGAGCGCGCAGGAACCAATCCGAGCGCGCAGTGAGACAACAAGCGCACGCGCAAAGCCGGTCTGGCGCGCGCTCAACTCTGAAAAACCCTCTCAACACACTGTTCTCGCGCTCAGTTTCATCTCTGCGCGTGCTCGAATCCGTCTCTGCTCGCGCTCGACCTGCTCTCTCTCCGCGCTCAACACCTATGGCAAGCCAAGAAGGTCATATTTCGCATTGAATTGTCGCGTTAAGATTGAAGTTAACCCGCAAAAAACGCGCGTTCTCCCGAGATTACGTCGCTTTTTACGCCGTCTTTTACCAACGAGCGCCGCCTTTTACGCGCGTCATGATAGTACCGCAAGACGCGCGTTAAATACGCGCGTTGTGTCGGTCAGAACGCGCGTATTTAACGCGCGTTTTCCTAATATGATAATGATGTCCTTCCTTCTTTTCCCACAGCCAATGCATTTGAACTGGTTGCATCCAATCTCTGATCAAGGCAGCCAGACCAAGAAAGTTCAGCGCAGATCTGCTTTGTGGAAAACTGCACAGAGCTCAATGTTGCAGCATTGCCAGAATTCACTGCATTGCCGTTTCACAAAGCCTTAACTTTAGGAATATATCCACTACTTACACTTTGCTGTTATTTTGAATCCATTCCATGCCTATTTTCACGTAAAAATGTTTTGCATCAACATTCATCGCCAACAAATGTTTTGTATTCACAGGTATCAGTAGGAATGTCTCACCACTTAATACTACCGAGAGGTGGCGTGGTGGCTTAAGTGACCGCCTTCAATGCGATTCTTTTGCTTCGTGGCGGGTTCGAATCCGGCAGAGGCCGTCCGACTTTTCCCTTTATATTCTGTCTTGTCTCCAACCAAGCCCATTTATTTATTTATTTTTTTTCTGAGAATATAATCATAAATGTAGCCTACTTCACTGTTTTTGATCCATCGCCATGCATTCTGTCATGTAAAAACTTTTTACATTGTACTAATAAAATGACAATAAAGGGGACACTTGTCTTCCAGAAAATTTGTCGGTCTGACTTGTTTTCTGTATATTTTCCTGCATATCACCAACCTTTTTCCATAATGCTTTATACAGCCATGGAGCAACTGCTGTTAAAATTAAATTAACAGGAAGATTTCTTATTAAAAGTGTTATTAGTGCAATGAGAAAAAACTTGCTTAGTTGAGCCAGTGGAGGTTTGATGATCCCCATAGCTCATGTTCTCTGTCTCCTACATATACATATAAATATATATATATTATATAATATATATATATATATATATATATATATTAACCACGTCACATAAATGTTCTTTCAGTCTGCAGATGGCGCCATATAACGAGTAGGCTACTGGCAGAGCAGCAAACAGGTGTTTGCACCAAAGCTGTACAACAATATAGGCAAGGTGTGTCTCTTTTTCCAGAGAGAACTGGATACTGGATTCTTTCATCTTTTTTATTTATTATGAACTATTATCTATTTCCCACTACCTTTGACCACTAGTCAATACCTTTACTTATGTGTACTAGAACAAGATCCAAATGTGCAAGAGTCTAATTACATTTTCATTGTGGAGTAGGAGACAAGGTATGGGTGCAGCACCTTCCATTGGGGGTGTATCCAGAAAACAGGTACTACGTTATTTAGATGTTACATTTAATTTTAACAGCAGTTGTTCCGTGGCTGCAGAAAGCATTATGAGCTTGGGAAAAGGTTAGTGATATGCAGGAAACATACAGAAAACAAGTCAGACAGACACATTTTCTGGAGGATAAGTGGCCCCTTTAATGTCATTTTATTAGCACAATGTAAAAAGTTGTTACATGACAGAATGAATGGCGATGGATCAAAAACAACAGAGAAGTGGGCTACATATATGGATTATATTCTTGGTTAGAGGCAAGAGAGAATATCAAAGGCATAGGTTTGATTTCAGCTTTGGCAGGGACACTATTGGTCTTCAGTTTCATTGGTCTAATGTCATTGGTCCTTTGCAAAAAGATGCATACTCTTTTTTTTAATGCTTAATGTGAGCATCAGGCTTTGATGTGTTTAAAGAGAACAGCATAATTTCTTCCTAGATTAATACAAATCTTATAAGCACTACACTCACTAGATGCTGTTTAGCAATGTTTGAAGCATCACTGGCTCTGATCAATGTGCAATTAGGACTTTTTTCCACTTTGAAAATGTTTGCATTTAAACTTACCAGTAAGACAGAAGGTAAATACATTCCTATTTAACCAAATATAGTCTAAATATGCCTGTTATATGTTGACGTATCGTGTTTTCTTTTGAAGATGTATAATTGTGCAGAGGTAAACAGGTGAAACCCACTCTTATTTTTTTATGTAATATGCTCTCTCTGTGTCATGCAAAATAATACATTCAACGGACGGCAAATAAATGTATTGTATTTACATGTGCACTGGAACTATAAGAGGAACTGACACTGAGGATTTTGAAATATTAACTTCACTATACAAGTTGTACATCTGGGCTGTAGTTAGTCTATGTAGCCCATTTCATAAATTTGTTCTATGGCTAAAACAATTAATCACATCTATCAATAATTTAAATAATCGTCAACTGATTTAGTAATTGATTAATCAATAACTGGAGTATAGAGCCACTAAAATGTGCCTTTAAGCCAATAGAGCGACCCACTTAGAGCAGGAATTATACCAAGATTATGAAAAAATATGTAAACATTTTGCATTTAGGACAAAAAAAAAGTTTTAGTCTGTCAATATTCTCCATCCAGAACTCCTCAAGAGGAAACGTTTCTGTTTCACCTGGGGTCATTTCGTAAAAAAATCTACTTTAAGGAACATTTGGGTGATCTGATTATTAATCAATTCATCAAAAAAATAATCAACAGATTAATCAATTTGCAGAATAATCATTAGTTTCAACCCTTATTTTATGGTAACGTTCCAAACACATTTCTTCCATCATGCAGCAGTGAAGGGCAGCTGCTTCACCATGAGGCTGCCCTGCATCATTATATCTGTTTCCTACAATCATATAATGTTTCTATTATACAAGTGCGTTTATAATAGTAAAGGATTAAATGTAACAGCCTTTTATCATCATCCTATATTGCTTGCTGTTTAAATAGCTCCTTATGTCTATTTTCTTTTTTAGTGGCATCATCTATAAACACAACACTAAGAATCAGCCAAAGTTTATTCAAATATAAAATCACTTTTAACAATTATAAAAGACAATATAACACTATCTTATCTGTAATGTAATAGTATCCAAAATAAACAGCCAGATTGAAGCATTATTTACCAGACATTAATGTACTAATTTACTTATGGACTGTGTGGAAATCTAGAAAAATAGAATCAGTGTAAATAGAGTTCCTCTGTTTGTCTTCATCCTATTTCTAGAAGTAGAATCAATTAAATAGAACTATTTTTATGTGGAAAACAAAAAAATAGAAGAACGTCAGCATCCTTCTCGTGTTATGTTCTACAAAATAAATTAACAGCTTTTATATACACCTGAACTGCCGTCAAAAAACAGAAAACAGTAATAGAAAAGAAATATTGGTGAAAGGGAATCAGAAATGTTGATAGATTACAGACTGCTCATTTCAACAGCAGTTTTCAGAACTCCTGTCTGACTCAGAATATTTTGTTTTATAAAAGAAATCCTAACTTTGGTTACTTTCATTTCTCAAGTTCCAAAAATCCAAACTATCTCCTGCTTCTTCACAGAACTGCAGTCAGAAGCTTTCGCCTGTTTTAGCCTAGAATAAGAGTGGGTTTCACCTGTTTACCTCTGCACAATTATACATCTTCAAAAGAAAACACGATACG